CTAAAATTTTATGTAAGTTATTGAATTTATTATTGACTTGTATTAAGCCCATACTGAAAATATCATCGATGAAAAGAATCTCGTGTGGTTAATGTATGTTGCTTGGCAGTGATCCTGAGACCAAACGAGGGATGATAGATTAAAGTCTCCAATCACACAGGTATGTTGATGGTCCTGCAGATTATTGTAGATGTCGGTAATGTTTTCCAGATGAGCCTTGTAAAGTTTATATGAACCATTCGGTGGTATGTATGACACCACAATTTGCAGCGATTCCGATTCCTCAATTATCGACACCGCAACTTGATCAAGAAGGGTATCTTCAATGAGAAGTCCAATTGACAAACAGCGCAAATTGCAGCGAACAGCAACAATTACACCACCTCCTCTAGCACAGTGGGTTTTCGTGCCAAGTTTCAACTAAAACTATAACATCAAACTCGCATTGGGATGTGGCAAGGTATACTTGCTCCGCCTTTGTCCGCATTCCGGAGATGTTTTGAAAATAAATTTTTAGTGGGGCCGTACTCACAATAGCACGATCAACAATTTCCGGATTCGCATTTAAGGCATCATAGTCCAATGCCCTAGGAAGTATTTGTTCATGCGTTCCAAATGTTGTAGGCCCGCAGATCGCCTTCAGTAATGTAGTGTTTTTAATACGAATTTTTTCATGCAGACTAGGATCGATGCATTCCCTAAGTTTGCTAGATACTTTTAGTAAAGAGCAACTAGTTCTTAAGAGCGATGGCAATGTCGCCGTTAACAGAGCATATCTATCCAAGTTGGGGAGAGATGGACAAAGTTGTTGTTGATGCTGCCATCGGGAAGAGCCACAGAAAGCAGTCGATGAGAAATTCAAGCAATTTCGTAGCGTCAGAGAGGAGCGCGGTAATAAGGAAATGATACTGTGATCACGAGTATCACTCAGAGCAAATTTTGAAAGCTCCAGCCGTTGGGTTTTTGTGAGCATTAGACGAACGTAACACAATTCAGACAACGACAACTCCAGCTGACGTTGTTGTTGGTTCAATAGTGATAAGCGCACAACTCCGACGAGCGCGCTTAGAGCAGGAATCTTGATGAAGTATGATGAGAGCGGCTCTCCAAAGAGCGTTTGACGATCGTCGTCCGAAACAGACAACGACAGCTCAAGCTGATGTTGTTGTTGCTTTGATAGTGATGCATGCACATCCCCAAAGAGCGCGCTTAGAGGGAGATGAGTGATTGAATATGATGAGAGCGCCTCATCGATCAACGTTTGACGAATGTCGCGCAAAACAGACAACGACAACTCCAGCTGACGTTTTTGTTTGTTTGACGGTGATGAGCGCACAACTCCGAAGAGCGCGCATAGAGCGGGAATCTTGATGAAATATGATGAGAGCAGCTCTCCAGAGAGCGTTTGACAAGCGTTGCGAGAAATAGGCAACGACAAATCCAGCTGATGCCGATGTTGCTTTGATTGTGATGAGTGCACATCACCGAAGAGAGCGCTTAGAGCGGGAATCTGAACGGAATCTGGTGAAAACGCCTCTCCAGTGAGCGTTTGATGAACGTTAGACAGAACAAGAAAGGAAAAATCCAGCTGATAATGTTTTTGATTTGTGAGTGACGGGCGCCCAATACTTAAGAGTGCACTAGGAGCGGCGTATGAGAGAGTAATGGTAGCAGTTAGCGATATCGAAACCAGCGGACGTTGACATTGCGAATAAGTAGCATGAAGATGAGGAAGCGGATCATAAAAATTTGCCGTAGTCAAATCGACACCAGAGGCGCCGATTATTGGGGGTTTTTTGATTCCGATGTATGATGATTGTGCAAATCCAGAACGTTCCCATCAACAATCGGCCTATCCCTGTGGATGAATCGACTGATCTTGATTGGATTGGGCCAGAACGCATCACTAAACACAGTCTGAAAGTGCTGCTCAGGTATTCCTAATTTAAAATTGACGAATTCCAGTGTAGCAACATCTACACCATTTTTGACTAAAGGCTTGCAAATTATGGTGGCGGTATCCACACCTAGCTTATTTGCAACATATTCACACACAAAATCAGATTTTACGTGCGCTCTGAATCTACCAATATGAAGGAATTTATTGCTCGGCACAACTTCGAGAAGTTCACAATTAGGAGCTTGACCAACTATTTGCCTCTTGTTCCTGTTATTCTTTGCATGGTTCCTGGCGGCAGTAGAAACTGGTGCGGGGGGTATCAGGTCTGCATGGTTGGCTTGACGACCAATTGAAGAAGGCGGAGCCAATGGTTTCACCATTTTTTTACGCTGACTGACATTGCTATTGTCAGTGGTAGAATTGGGAAAAGCCTTCAGAAACTTTGAATTTAAATCCATGTATAGACTCTTCAGGTCATGAAGTTCTTCCATTACTTCATCGATTTTGGAGTATGAATCATTACTCACAACACAGCGATCACACTGCCAGAGTAGATTCGGCATATTTGTTAATAACCTAATAGCATCCTCCGGGAGATCAACACATGCAGTGTGAAAAGTACGACGACAATGCGATGAGCAACGAACCGCCTCAAAACCGCGAAGCTGCGCTGCTGTAACTTCAGCATTGCACTCGGAGCACGAATAAGAATTCATAGCGAAAAGAAAACACGTCTGACTACAACGAATGCTAATCAGAGACTGACGGCTTGTGGGCGTTAGAGTGGAAGTGGCACCCTGCTGAAAGAAACTTGCACTGCGCAAGAAGCTCAGAAATCTGCATGCCAAATCCCAATAGCCTAGCTCTTATAGTTTCCGAGACCTCAGCGTTCATACGGACAGACAGGCAGACGGACATGGCTAGATCGAAACGGCTAGTGATCCTCATCAAGAATATGTATACTTTATGGGGTCGGAAACGCTTCCTTCTGCCTGTTACAAACTTTCCGACGAATCTAGTATACCCTTTTACTCTACGAATAATGGGTATAATTAATGTTCAGTTATTATATGAGAATCATTCCGCACACTTTCGTCATCGAATAAATCCCGGATTTCCCTGCAATCACCAGTTCTCGCGTTTTTCCTTAATACAAAATAGTATTAAATTTACGCTACCAAAAACCTTAACCAAGAACTTCTAATACATATATGTGCTGGCTCTTGGTTGCGTACCAAAACGGAGCTCCAGACTGCGTTAAAGATTTATAATGCGGCCACGGTGAATTGCCATCCGTAGCGGCAGAGGGCTTATGATCGGGGGAAATGGGCCGACTCGTCCAACCAAATATGAAAACACAACCAGAGCTCGGATCAAAACGTTATAATTGACTGTAATTCCTGATTTTGTTGAAAAAAAAGAGATGTTTTCCACTCCAGTGGCTTTTTGAGGGTGATTTCTAAGACTAAAAAAAGCATGCGGTCAACCGACATGTTTGTATGTATATACATGAGCTCTTTCGAAGTTCGAGACACAAAAAGGGATTCAAAAAAGAACAGCTAATATTCTAGGAAAAAATGTGCATCCGCAGAGAGAATCGTGCTCTAGTTGCCAATTCTCTCTCGTTGTCTCTCCAAGAGTTTTTAGGGTGAGCCTAGATTGAATTTAACGCGAGTTCCAACATCATCCCGCCTTTAATGACTGTTTCAGACAACATATCTAGTGGTGTTATCTCATATATTCGCTCCATTTTTTACCACCTAAAAATACAGATTGTTAGAAAGAAAGTGCAAAATAAACATATTCGTGTAGGTCTAGCATCTTTCAGCCAGCAACCCATTTTTGACTGGCAGCGGGTAAAGTTTGGCTATGGGTCTATCTATGACGCCCGATTGGGTTTTCAATGTAGCAACACGTACCAAACCATCTGATCCAACATGAATCTTTATGATGCGTCCGAGAGCCCATCGGTTTGATGGAATTCGGTCTCCTTGATCAAAAACAAATTCGCCAACACGCAAGTTCTCCCTTGGTTGAGCCAACTTAGGTCTTTGTTGTAGGCTTGCTAAATACTCCGCTCTCCATAGTTTCAAAAATTGCTGTCCATAAAATTGATAGTTTCTCCAACGTTCTGTGAGACTTAACTTTTCAATTTCTGTAGCCGGTGGAGCCAACAATGAGTCCCCTGTTAAGAAATGGCCGGAGTCAGCACCATCATTTGATAGTGTACAGAATGGTCTAGAATTTAGACACGACTCGATTTGCACTAGAACAGTGGACATCTCCTCGAAAGTTAACACACGTTCTCCAACATATCTCTTCAAATGATATTTCATCGACTTGAGCCCCGCCTCCCATAGTCGCCCAAAATGTGGCACTGAGGGAGGGTTGAAACGGCATGTGATACCTTTGTCAACGAGACTTGGAATTATCGACTTTGCAATATACCTTTGATATGCCAATTGGTCAGCCTGCACTTTTTTATTTGCACCGAAAAAGTTTGTCCCGCCATTCCAATATAATTCCCGACAAAGTCATCGTCTCCCAGCATAACGATGCAGAGCTCCAATGAATGAATCCAAATAAATAAAGACTGCAACACCTCCCTTAACAGCAGTACGACGTTTCGAAGGAGGGATACTTATGGGTCCAGCGTAGTCAACTCCTGCTGATGTGACGCTGATAAATTACCCAATTGTTGTTTAGCAAGCCCAGGCCTCAATCAGAAACACACCATACATTTGTGTGTCACAGACCGGACTGCATTTTTTCCATCAATAATCCAAAACCTTTTGCGAATGAAATCTAACGTGAGCGCGGCGCCACCATGAAGAGTACTGGCATGAGCATTTTGCACCACCAATGTAATATAATCATGTTTATTCGGAAGGATATAAGAAAAATTTTTCCTTTGAGACATCATTGCATCACGTAATCTGCCGCCCAATCGAATTACTTTTTCTGGGCATCAAATTAGGGATTGAAGTTTAAAGGCACGCTGTTTTCGTTAACTTGTCTTGCCTATGGCGTCTGAAGGGAATCATTGGTTTTACGTTTGGCTCTCGTTCTGCGACAGTTCTTGCCAAAACGTAATACATATGCTATAATACGTAAGACGCGCAGACCGTCCTCCCAGTTGAAATTGCGCAGCTTTTTATACCTTTCATCTCATCGCCATTGTAGCCCATGCCAACACAAAGCACACGTTGATCATTTTTCCACATCAAGTCCGCGGCTTAGAAGATCCGCCGGGTTGTCTGTTGATGCAACGTGTCTCTATTGTCGTGCTTCTGAAACGGCTAGGATCTTACTAATACGATTTAATACAAAAAGATTCCATTTCGACGATCCTCCTTGTATCCAGCTGAGTGTAATCATCGAATCTGACCAAAAAATAGTTTCATTAAAGTTTATCATAAAATTTAGTTTGTGTTTCAAATACTTACAACGAAACCTTAGTTTTCGAGTAAATAAATTCACTGCAATACTCATGGTCTCTTGTTTGAACTCGCAAATATGCCACCGCGGCTTAAGCGCTATCTGAGGCATCAGAAAATATACGTACAAATATATATCCACCCCGAGCCGATGATCCATTGTTGATATAGCGCGGAATTCGAACTTCCGAGATTTTTGGCAAATTCCTTATAAATCTTTTCCATTTTTGTTCAACTGCTGGAGATACGTTATCATCCTAACTCAGTCGGTCCCTGCAAAGATACTGCATCGTTACCTTCGCCATAATAATGATGGAACTTAGCCACCCCATTGGGTCAAGCAGACGCGCAATGGTCGATAGCATTATTCGTTTTGTAGGTGTAGAGGTCTAAATTTCGAAATTCACATGAAATCGGAACTCATCCTCAGACGGGCTGCAATATAGACAAAGTGTACGTATGGCCTCCTCCGACTGAAACTGCAGCAATCCTTTTGCTTCACGGTGCTTGATGGGCATCTTCTTTAACAGCTGTTACTCGCCCAATTACGTAGTGTAAAAGTACCCAGATGCAACATTTCTATAATTTGACTTGCTGTTTGCACCTGACAAAATATCATCTACTAACATTTTCATTCGCATTCATTCATCCTTAAGCAACGGAAAATGGTCCGCTTCATTTGGGGCCAGTTGTTGCAGCGCTCGTACCAAACATTACACCTGAGCAAATATATTTCTCTATATTAACGCTACCTTCCGGTTTCCTCAGTACCCGGTGACATTGTGCACGGGTTGAAACGGCATGTGATACCTTTGTCAACGAGACTTGGAATTATCGACTTTGCAATATACCTTTGATATGCCAATTGGTCAGCCTGCACTTTTTTATTTGCACCGAAAAAGTTTGTCCCGCAATTCCAATATAATTCCCGACAAAGTCATCGTCTCCCAGCATAACGATGCAGAGCTCCAATGAATGAATCCAAATAAATAAAGACTGCAACACCTCCCTTAACAGCAGTACGACGTTTCGAAGGAGGGATACTTATGGGTCCAGCGTAGTCAACTCCTGCTGATGTGACGCTGATAAATTACCCAATTGTTGTTTAGCAAGCCCAGGCCTCAATCAGAAACACACCATACATTTGTGTGTCACAGACCGGACTGCGTTTCTTCCATCAATAATCCAAAACCTTTTGCGAATGAAATCTAACGTGAGCGCGGCGCCACCATGAAGAGTACTGGCATGAGCATTTTGCACCACCAATGTAATATAATCATGTTTATTCGGAAGGATATAAGAAAAATTTTTCCTTTGAGACATCATTGCATCACGTAATCTGCCGCCCAATCGAATTACTTTTTCTGGGCATCAAATTAGGGATTGAAGTTTAAAGGCACGCTGTTTTCGTTAACTTGTTTTGCCTATGGCGTCTGAAGGGAATCATTGGTTTTACGTTTGGCTCTCGTTCTGCGACAGTTCTTGCCAAAACGTAATACATATGCCATAATACATAAGACGCGCAGACCCTCCTCCCAGTTGAAATTGCGCAGCTTTTTATACCTTTCATCTCATCGCCATTGTAGCCCATGCCAACACAAAGCACACGTTGATCATTTTTCCACATCAAGTCCGCGGCTTAGAAGATCCGCCGGGTTGTCTGTTGATGCAACGTGTCTCTATTGTCGTGCTTCTGAAACGGCTAGGATCTTACTAATACGATTTAATACAAAAAGATTCCATTTCGACGATCCTCCTTGTATCCAGCTGAGTGTAATCATCGAATCTGACCAAAAAATAGTTTCATTAAAGTTTATCATAAAATTTAGATTGTGTTTCAAATACTTACAACGAAACCTTAGTTTTCGAGTAGAGTTCCGTTTAAAAAAGCAGTTTTTACGTCCATATGATGAACCATTAAATAGTATTGATTTGAAAGTGCCAACAAAAATCGAAAACTGGAAATTCGTGCAACTGGTGCAAATGTCTCATCGTAATCAGTCATATATTCTTGAGTGAAGCCCCGCGCTTCAAGTCTCGCTTTTTACTTTACTTAGTTCCCAAATTCATCGTGTTTCATTAAAGTTTATCATCAAATTTAGATTGTGTTTCAAATACTTACAACGAAACCTTAGTTTTCGAGTAAATAAATTCACTGCAATACTCATGGTCTCTTGTTTGAACTCGCAAATATGCCACCGCGGCTTAAGCGCTATCTGAGGCATCACAAAATATACGTACAAATATATATCCACCCCGAGCCGATGATCCATTGTTGATATAGCGCGGAATTCGAACTTCCGAGATTTTTGGCAAATTCCTCATAAATCTTTTCCATTTTTGTTCAACTGCTGGAGATACGTTATCATCCTAACTCAGTCGATCCCTGCAAAGATACTGCATCGTTACCTTCGCCATAATAATGATGGAACTTAGCCACCCCATTGGGTCAAGCAGACGCGCAATGGTCGATAGCATTATTCGTTTTGTAGGTGTAGAGGTCTAAATTTCGAAATTCACATGAAATCGGAACTCATCCTCAGACGGGCTGCAATATAGACAAAGTGTACGTATGGCCTCCTCCGACTGAAACTGCAGCAATCCTTTTGCTTCACGGTGCTTGATGGGCATCTTCTTTAACAGCTGCGGGCTGTTACTCGCCCAATTACGTATTACGTATTACGTATTACGTATTACGTATTACGTATTACGTATTACAACTAGATCCCAGATGCAACATTTCAATAATTTGACTTGCTGTTTGCACCTGACAAAATATCATCTACTAACATTTTCATTCGCATTCATTCATCCTTAAGCAACGGAAAATGGTCCGCTTCATTTGGGGCCAGTTGTTGCTGCGCTCGTACCAAACATTACACCTGAGCAAATATATTTCTCTATATTAACGCTACCTTCCGGTTTCCTCAGTACCCGGTGACATTGTGCATCTTTTTCATTTAAGTTGATGCAGCGATACATTTTTTCAACGTCAGCCACGAACACATACTTTAAAGCTTGCCAACTTATCAGTACTCCTGGTAAACCCACATACAACTTTGGTCCGGTCGCCATTAAGTCATTCAGCGCGTTCAGGTAGCAGTGCTCGATTTCCCCGGAAGCATGGTTATTGTTCTTTGTGCCAGGCTGTGCTCCAACACGTCTCATCTGGTCCAATTCAAAGTAATCATTTATGGTTTCCGAATAAAACTTCTTTAAAATCACATCGGCATTTAGACGGGGCTGGAGATAACATAATCTTCTTAGAGCAGTCCGGTATGAGTCGCCAAGTACCATTGTTGGATCTGTGTGCAACAGCAAGGGTATTCGCACGACATACTTTCCCGATGGCAGCCGACTATGTGCTTGAACAAAAAAATCTTCTATGCTTTTGTTAATGAATAGGTGAAATACAAATAAGTATTAAACAGACAACCTCCCAATGAACAAATAATAATGCATACTTAGATTGTGTGAACCGCACGCTCTCAACGCCAGAATCGAAGTGAACGACAATATCGAGAGAGAAAAAGAACGACGAGAAGATAGGAAGAAGAAGCACGATGGTCCCGTTTCCTTGAGCGGTTTCCTAGGAAACCAAGACATCGGAATGTGCGTCTACCTCTCGTACACATACATTCATGCAAACAAGAATTGCACAATTATCCATGTGACTTTTGTATATTTGAACATGCAAATTCCAACACGCTGCCTCAAAAGTTACATTGATTATCACTTCAATTCCTGACATTAGTTTGTGCTTTAGTTTTAATTTGTTTCTTCAATTCATTTCTTTTCTTTTCAATTCTGGGGATACATTAGATCCAGCCTTTGCTGCACGAGTTGGGGAAACCCAGTAAAACCCAACTAGATCCATACAAAAAAAAAATTAACATAATTAAAGCTTTGACAAATAAAATTAAACAGGAATAAATGGTAAATATGGAAATTAAAATTAATTGCAAGTACTTTAAAAAAAAATAAACAAGAATATGAATACAATTCAATTACTTAAGACTTAGTAAATATGGAAATTTAATTTAACCACAAAAGACTTCATGAGATCCATTTCATGTTTGGCTTTTAAAAGCGATGGATTTTCAGCAACAGTTCACAAGGTTTGTAGTTGGTTTATTCAGAAAGTCCCAGCTGGCTTCTCAGGGAAATAAACCGGCAGATGGTAATGGCTTCGTCAATATGTCGGCTAGTTGCAGATCTGTGGGAATATACTTTACAGAAATCAGTTTCTTTTCAATTTGCTCTCTTGTAAAGTGATATTTAATATCTATGTGCTTTGTTCTCTTATGGAAAGTAGGATTATTTGCAATACTTATAGAACCTTGGTTGTCTTCAAAAATATCTATAGGACCACTTAATTCTAGATTAATCTCATTTGACAGTGATTTTAGCCAAAAAGATTTTCTTTCACCTTCAAACAAGGCCATGTATTCTGCGTCAGTAGATGAAGCAGCAACCGACTTTTGCTTCATGGTACTCCATGAAACCAAACAATTTTCAAACATTTTAAAAAGATACCCAGTGGTACTTCTTCTGTCAGTTTCATTTCCAATCGGAATCTACGTATCCTGTAAGAATATTATTAAAATTAGCTACTTTCTTGAATATAAGCTTGATATTAACAGTTCCCTTCAGATATCTAAGAACTCTTTTAAGGCATTGCCATAGTTCCTTAGTGTTGTTGCTTGTATATCTGCTTAGTACTTAAGTCGGGCCGTGTACATAACATTATGTACATCACACAACCAATTAAATTTCTACACGGTGCATCACATGATTGTAGAGCTGTATAGTCTAACTTACTTGGGAGGGGAGTACTAACTGAATTACAATCTTCCATATTAAATTTTCTCAATACATTTTTAATATATGCTGACTGACTAAGACAAATCTCTCCATTAGTTCTATCAATTTTTTTTATTTGAAACTTGTCATGAAGGTAAGATTTAAAATTGGACATTGGATCAGATTTGTTTGTAGCAATTACTACATCGTCCACATATAGCAAGATATATATATTTCTTTTAATATCTCCCTTATCCAAAATATATATACGCCGATCAACTCCTAAGTTTTAAATCAAACATCCTTCAACACACTTTCAAAAACTTCGAACCAACATCTAGCAGCTTGCTTAAGACCATATATAGCCTTAATAAGTTTACATACTTTATTCTCATAAGAGCGATTCAGGCCTTTTGGAACGCTCATGTAGATATCATCCTTTAGAGTTCCGTTTAAAAAAGCAGTTTTTACGTCCATATGATGAACCATTAAATAGTATTGATTTGAAAGTGCCAACAAAAATCGAAAACTGGAAATTCGTGCAACTGGTGTAAATGTCTCATCGTAATCAGTCATATATTCTTGAGTGAAGCCCCGCGCTTCAAGTCTCGCTTTTTACTTTACTTAGTTCCCAAATTCATCGTGTTTTATACTAAATACCCATCTGCAATCAACTACGTTTTTATTTTCTGGCTTATGCACAAAGGACCAAGTATTATTTTGGAAAATGAGAATTAAGTTCATCTTGTATAGCTTTCTCCCAGAAAGATCTGTCCTCACGAAACTTAATTTCATCAAAGGTATAAGGAATATCATTTAAGCATATTTGAGTATTCTTTCGAAAAATCGATATGATAATTTGGGTTTACTTTTAATTCTTTCACTGCGTCTGATTTCTTCTTCACTTTTATTTTCTTTTAATTTATCACCAGTTTCAACGACTGGATCGGCATTCTCTTGACATGTGGAATTTTCATTGAGTTGTTCACTTAACTCAGAATCAACAGATTCATTATTTTCCAACAAAGGAAAAACCAACTCTTCATTTCCTCTACTTAAAGATTCATTATTTTGTTCAATATATTTCATCCACCACAACATCTCCTGCTATCATAAATTTCCTCGATTCCTCAGACCACAACTTATAATTATTTGGTTCATAACCTACAAGTATAGCTTTAATTGACTTTTCGTCAAACTTTCTTTTTCGTATTTTATTCAAAGCATATACCGCCGAACCAAATATTTTAAGATATTTCAACGTTCTCAACGTTGGTTTTTTGTTATGCAACATCTCAAATGGTGTTTTATTTATCTTTTGCAATGCTCTACTTGGGGATCTGTTTATTAAATAGGCTGCTGTTAAAACAGCCTCACCCCAAAAATGCTTATTGAGCTTAGCACAACTGATCATAGATCGAGTCTCTTCGGTGATTGTTCGAATCATCCGTTCTGATACACCATTCAATTGTGGAGTATGAGGAACCGTTAAATGATAGCTGATGCCTTTTTCGACACAGAAATCACGCATTTCGTTAGAAAATTATTCCCTTCCATTATCGATATATAAATTCACAGTTTTTAAATTGAAGTGAGCCTCGCTCTTCGCTACAAAGTCTTTGAAAACATAAATAAATAAATAGGTCACACAGTAATGTGTATACTGATCAATAAAAACTACATAGTAGTTCTTATTATCAATGGTAGAGGGTGTTATTGGACCACAGACATCGGAATGGACAACAAACAATGGTCGTGTAATATTCTCTTTATTTTTAAATTTTTGAAACTTTAATCTAGCTTGCTTGCCGTTTATACAAGCCTCGCATAATTCATGGTTTAAATCAATGTTGTTTAATATTTTAGTATCTTCAAAAAGACTATTATGCTAAAAATTTTACTACACTTATGTGGCCTAATCTTTCATGCCATAATCGATACTCAGCACTATTAGAAATTTTAGACGTAAATATTTTACTGTTCAATTGAAATTTTATAATAGGTACATTGTACTCACATATTCCATTAAAGGCCAATTTAACATTTTTAGATACTTTTACACCTTCAGGGTTAAATTTGATGGTCATGCCTGCATCCTGCATCTTCTTTACCGATAGTAGGTTGTGTGGAATACGCTTACAATACAAAACGTTTTGCAAGGTGATTTGGTTTTCGCAGCTGTTAAGATTGACCACTCCTTTGGCTGTAGCGTAGATAAACTCTCCGCGTTTGGCAATCTCGATGGCCACATTTGATTGCTAACGCTCATATTCGGAGAACAATGCTGTGTCATTTATAAGGTGGTTCGATGCTCCTGAGTCAAGGATAAACTCAGCCTCGCTTGACTTTGAATTGGAAATTGGATTTCTCAACATGAAGGCAAAACTACCCTCTGCTTGTGCTGTTGCTGCTGTTGTCATTTGAACCTGCCCATCTTTTCTTTTATTTTCAGAAAAGTTCTGATTTGGCTGCCTTTTCAAAAGGAAACAATCTTTCTTTAAATGACCTGGCTTACCGCAATGAAATCATTTTGATTTCGGTTTGAAACTTGGCTTAAACTGATTCTTCTGAAACTTCTTCATTGGATTATTTATAAATTTTACATCTTTTAACTCCTTTTTATTAACAGCTTGCAAGACTTTAACACTCGTATCCTTACTTATATTCCTAAGCTAAATCTCTTGGTCAAGAAGACGTGATTTTACAAAAGCTAATGTTAAGTTACTTTCAGAGAGAGTCTCTATTGCGGTTATAGCTCCATCATAACTGGAAGGAAGAGTTAGGAGTAAATGGGAAATTTTATCCATTTCATCTAACTTTGCTCCTGACGCGATAAGTTCAGTAATGAGATCATCGAAGAAATTAAAATGGTTGAGGAGTGAAGTGTCACCTTTTAATTTCATGGCTAAAAGTTTCTTTTGCAGAGATAGTTGCGAAGCCAAGCTTCTTCTCTCGTAAATTACATCTAAATTTGCAAAAATCTGCTTAGCAGTGCTTTCACTGTTAGCGTAAGATAAGAACGCATCACTTAAATATTCAATTATGAAACTTTTACCATTTCGTTCTGCCTTTTTTATCTCATCGGTCACTTCTGCATGAGTTTCATCTATGACCCTCAAAAGATCGTGCTCTTCTAACAGCGCTCTCACTCTGAACTTCCATATTGAATATTTTTTACCGTCAAACAGTTTGATATTTCTTTTCCCTTTATCCATTGTATGGTTCTCTATCAAAACAGCACCGCAACAACTACCTGGCAACTCTCCTCAGCAACACCAAACAGCAACCCCTCACAGCAATAATTTCCACAGCAATAACTTTTCACAGGAATGTTTAGCAACAGCGGCCAGCCACTTTCAACAGCATTAACGTCGCTCAACACTGTCCAGCAACAATGTCTTTCAGCAGCAGCACTGTCTGGCAACACTGTCCCGTCGCAACGTGGAGATTTGCGGCAAATTTGTCGAAGCGTTTGTATGTGTGTGTTCAGGAAATATTTCTCGGCGAATCCGCAAAAGTGTGTTCTAGAAAGATCACG